TGTCTCTTGTACTTTAGAAGTGGCTAGATACTATGTATTTTAGAAATAATATTACTGATTATATTTATCCAGACAAGTCTGCTACCCAGCCTCATGGATTGTTACAGCTATGGTGTTGAGAAGTTGACATCGAACTGCATGCAGATTTATCTATACATGTAACCAAATCTGTGTAGAAAACTAATGATAAATACATTTAAAAAGTACACAATAGTAGTTGAAAAGTTTTATTCATATAAAATTCATTATTAAGAACATAAAGGATTGCATCTTAAAAAAAGATCTGCAGTTATTTACAGCAGTATTGCACAAGTAAAGTGGCAATTACCCTGTCAAATTTTCATCAGTGCAAAACACAAGTAAGCCAGGGAAACTGCAATAAAAATGCTACATATGCTGGGTTCTATGAAACAAATTAGTGATTAATCAGTACAAGATCAGTGCTACGTTGATGTTTGTACCTGATGACAAGGTTTGTCATACAATAACTAGTGGTCTTTAAACCAGGGTGCAAAATTTCATTCTTCACCTAAAAATTTAATAGTTCTTGAATAAATTGTAGGTACTTCTTGATCATGAGGTAACAGCCATATCCTGTGCTACATAAACTGAGGTCAAGGGATGCAGTATTAACAGCCCTTAATATTAGCACAATTCAAGAAAGAAACAGGAAGCACCAACAAGGTTATCATCTGGTATTTCATGAATTTCCCAGAGACACTGGTTTTTGTGGTGGGTTGCTGGGGTCATCTGAATTCTGACTGAACATAACACGCCCATGCAAGTCCTTGGATCATGTCTATCATTTTTAAAGACCAATTCAGAGCACTGCATGTTGCTTTAGTAAAAATTCTTTGAAAACCACCATCAGTCCCCACAAAAACTTACAAATATTTCAAAGCTTGAGTATTGGGCTTTTCTAATGACAAAATGGAATTGTACTCTCTGCTTGCACTTTATACTTGAATGCTGTAACAAGACAGAGAAGGAAGCAAGAGCAATGGGAGAAAATAAGGGGGTTAATATCTAAAATAGCGCCAACTATCTCATACTAGTAGACAGTGCTCTAAACTGATCAATCACTATTTCATATATGCTAAGTAAAATTTAAAGAAAAAAAAAAGACTTTACAAGAACTTAAATAAGCAGAAAATAAATATACAACATTTCTACAAGTTACAGCATTATGAAACAGTAGAGTGCATTAATTACAAAGAAAAGGGGAACCTACAGTATTTAACAAGTTCAATTTTACAAAAAGAAGTTTAGAGAAATTTCTGCTGCTATACAAAAAAAATCTTACATGAAATAGTAAAAGAGGAAACATTGCACACAGGTAACATTTGGCTCAGATGAGAAAAACTGCTCTAATCTAATAAATATTCAAATATTTACAATCATTGAAAGAAAATAAAAGCATTGAAAGTCTTAGTAATTCTCTGGGAAGAAATTTATATCTGGTTTCTCCACAACCAAAGGAAATTTTTCATAAAAATGTTTTGGTAGGACTATTTAAAAGGAAATTTTATTTTTTTTTAAATCCTCTAATAGACAAAACGGTTATATATGTTAAACCCACAAGTCTTACTAAGTTCACAGTGGGGTTGTGAAGGCACAAAACCTGCAGTGAACTGGAAAACCGAATGGGTATTATTTGATTTAGTTTTTAGATATAGGTATCTATATAGATAAATGTCTGCGGAAAAAAGAAAGCTTGGGTTTGGGCCACACAGTGCCAATATCGTGTCATTTACTGTTTATGTTATAATTCACAGAATTTTAAAAATATGTATTAGGCTTATAATGCTTGCCTTAAGCCATGGCAGCAAGCTCATTGCGCGTCCATGCTATCAGTTAACACATATGGATGTGTACACATCTCAAGGCACTGGGCCAGCCAAGCCTTTAAAGAAATTGGGGGAGAGGGGAGGACAAGGGATGCAAAGAGGCAGCACAGGCGCCACTGCTTATGCACTGGGCTTTTCAAAGCCCCCCCTTTCTACAGCAGCTCCTTATTTCCACATACCCATCCCTAAAAGAAAGCCACTCCTCAAATTAGGGTATTCTAAGGAGCAGCATCTGCTCCAATCCAAGTAAGGAACAAAGGAGTCTTCCAACATAAGGTGCAGGCATGGAACTCCCAAGATCCCAACCATGGCTGAAGTCTACAGAAGGATTTAATTTTAACACTGGAACGCTCCAGGTACAGAAGCAGGAGCAAAGTTTCATTCATGCTTTGGTGAGTACAGAAAGATGAAGTCTAGGCACATTATCCTGGCATGTTGGCAAGCAACATGCTAGTTTGTGCTGAAAGATACTTTTGATAATTATTTCCATTTAAAATTTAAATACAGGATCTTATGACACAACGAATAATAGCAAACTCTTAATCAAAAGTTTGTGCCTAATGTTGTATATCAGCATCACTGTATTTGGAACAGAAAGAATTTCTGGCATTTTGCACAGTATCAATCTGAGCAGCATAATGCTAGCTGTTTAAGCCATTTCCTTTCCTCTTCCAATAAATCAGATTTTACAGGCAACATGCAAATATACAGATCAAATTCCTATTAACAGCATTGTCATTTCTATTTGAAATTAAAATAAATCGAATTAGGAAAGTGATGGACTGATACTATCAAACAAGGAATCTCCCTCCTGTAGAGCTACCAACAAAATGCTTGATTCAGCAAAAGTGAAGTATGTAAAGGAACACCTCCCTGTCTAAATCTGTAACTGGATGTCAGCAGTGCTTCAAATACAATTCCAAATGGTGCTTCAAAAAATCAAAAGGGCTCCAATAGCACCTTTTCTGACTAACACATTGTATTAAAAGTCATACGCTCTTCCAAGTTTCAGTTCACTTCATCAGATGCACAAGTTACATGTGAGATAAAGCAGCTTCAGTATAACCTGTTTTTCCCCTCTTCCCACCACCTCAACCTAATTTAAATCCTTTATCAATCTAGCCACTGTATGCATCAGATTAAGTAAACTGCAGCTAGCAAAAGCCAATGTCTTTTAATAACATGCGATACTCAGAAGTTTCTACTAGAGCTCTTCGGAATTTTTGTTACCATAGACTAACATGGCTTTCTTCCTTTAAAAAATGTGCTACAGAATGCACCTTAGCACTCCTGAAGGCATCTGCATCTTTTTCAAGAAATCTCACACCTGTCGTACAATACAGGCGACAGCTGCTTTAAGGAGTTGCAGGGCAATGTTCCTCTCCCCTGTGCATTCTCAAGCATTTTTGAAATTGAATCTGAAGTGCTGCACAGCCCTATAAAGAATGGGACAAAAAAGGGTGGCATGGAAGTAGTTGAGATTGTTCTGAGAACAATGCATACAGCACCAGCTAATCAACCCTGTCAGTTGGAAAGACATTCACCTGTTAAGATGGGTAAAGGACTTAATGCATCCCCATTTCCAAGAGATGGTTAGCACTTTCACTGCTTTCGGTCCTTAGTCTCCACTATCCGGCCGTTCTGTGGGCAACTTTCACCTCAATGTGCATCTTGCTTGTTGGGAGATCTTGGTGTGTGTGTTAATTCACTGGACTTCTGAAACAATGGGTTAAAGTAATACATACAGGAAACAGGTGAATCTCCACTAGGTGGACTAACATTCCACATATTCCAGACAGGCACAATAATTGAACATTTATGGAACAATACAGAGAAATCACAGGAAGTGTTGATAATACAGAGAATCAGAAAGCCTAGATTCTACAAATGCACTTTAGATGGCTTCAAGAGAAGTCAAAGCCTGTAACTTTTTGAAGATATTTACATATTTTCAGTGGTGCTGGTGAAACCAGAAGTGGCACAATATTTGGAATCATGTTTATAGTCTGTACTAGTCTATATAGCTAATCGAGGACCAGATAAAATTACATAGCAGAGAAAAAAGGGACAGAATCTGTTATGCAAATACTCAGGTTCAGTTGCCTCATGTGGCCAAATAAAAATGACATACGAACTACCTGACCATAATGTGGTGCAGCACAACTTTACTGCTTGTTTAATTTTTATTAAATCACTGTTGCTTTCAATTTTGAGTTTTCCCAAGCTGTATCTATGATTTTTTGTTTTACTATCACCTATGACATTTGAAGAGACAAACATTTTATATTTAATAAACTATGATGGGTGACAGAAGATTTATCAGAAGCAAAAGCCTTTTTAAAACAAGTCAGCATGCACTTCTGCTAACCGCCATTGTTACATTAGAAATTTACCTGCTATATTTTGATTCATTTTCATTCAAGATTGAGCTTATGTGCATGCCATAATTTACTAATTTAATAAATTCAATATTCTGAACTTTCTCTTTGTTTTAAAGCAAATTTTTAGTCATTTGGAAGCAACTGACACCGCCCCACCCCACCCGCCAAAAAAAAATTAGAAGTGTTTGATCATCTTTCCCATAAACAGCAAAGGCAAGGAAAGCTAAAGAAGATTTCCATTAGGCTCCTTAATGATCTGTTTAAACTGTTTCAGGGTTGCTCTCTGGAGCACAGAACGTTCTGTCTTTACTGGGTACAGTTCATAAATACCTAGTTTCCAATCAGTGCCTAAAGTAACAAAGAGATTAACTTCTTTTCAGTTACAAAAAATACCCTAGTGAACTGGACCTGCTTCCATCATGCCTTCTCCTACGCCAATCAGGCTTTGGGACAGAATGATAGGTAATCAGTAAGTGGTCCAGCATATGCTTTGCATGCAAATATATATACCGTATTTTTCGGACTATAAGACGCACCGGACCATAAGACACACCTAGATTTAGAGAACAAGACAAAAAATAGTTTTTTGCCCACGCACATCCCGTTTTTCCCCTTCCTGTTGTCCCGAAGAACTCTGCAGGCCAAAAACGAGCCCGTTTTTGCCCTCCCTGGCGTCGAGGATGCTGAAAACGGGACAGAGGGTTTGCACTCTGGCCTGCAGAGTGCTTCTGGATGCCAGGGAGGGCAGAAACGGGACCCGCGGAGGGCTCGGGAGGCTAAAAACAGGCCCATATTCACTCTATAAGATGCACAGACATTTGGGAGGGGAGTATGTCTTACAGTCCAAAAAATACAGTAGGTGTTTGTACATCTCTGAGAAGGGCTGGCAAAGACCCATCCAACAACCACTAACCTAAGCAGACCAGTACTCTGATTCAAAATGAGCCAGCTTCCTATGCTTATGAAGGCTTCTGTACCTGGCAAATTAAAGAGAACCTGAACCAGGAACTTTATAAGAGAACCCTTATCCTGAGAAGGATATTTGTTTCCATCTCTAGGCACACAAAGGGGACGAAGCAACATCAAATATGGCAAGTTTCTCTTTTTGCAGACACACTTCATTTCTCCCATGGCATATGAGAGCCCTTCAGTCTAGTTTGGGAATCACCATCTTTACCACTATCTATGGCGCAGAGAAACAGTTTGCTTTGTTTCGATTATTAAGGTTGCACAATTCAGCTTTTTGGAAAAACCCTTGGTTCAAGATTTTTTTTCCGAAGTAAACTATGAGTAGCCCTCACCAACATAGTAGGTAAAATGCAGCTACTTTCTCACATGAGGCTACGAGGGAGGGGAAGGTTCCAGAAATTCTGTTGTTAAAACTTATAAAAGGAAAAAAGAAAACTTGCTTCCATCTCTTTTGGAATTTTTACCCCCAGAATCAATTTGAATACTGTGCTGCTATCGACCCCGAACCCACGCACTGAGTCAGTAGTCCTTGTACATTCCACATTATGGTTACTAACTCATCCCTCCAGATAATTTATTTTAAGAATAAATGCAGCAATAATTAAATCCAGAGTGCTTGTTAAAAAAAAAAATCACACTCACACTGGATTTAAACAGTAAAATACCATAATGAGGATCAAAACAGTGCCAGGAATCATGCAGTAGGACCCTGTTCTAACAACTTGGGGCAATATTGCACAGGTGTAGGAACTGCTTTCACCCACATGCAAAAACTTATTGCTACATTGCCCCCCTCCCTCCCCACATCAGTTTATGCTATAGAATATACACGTTCTATACAAATAACATAAGAAGAAAATTATAAAAAGGCAACCTGGTGTCATTATTTGGAGCATTTAAACTTTCACAGTTTAATTTCAATTTTCAAAGCAACTTCGATATTTCTTTCTCTGGACTGCAAGAAGCAGAAGCTCTGCACAAAGAAAGATCCAATCTGGTACTTGCACAGCAGATGGGTACATGTTCTGTGTAAATTCCTTCTGGTGTAGACACACAAAGGCAGCTGACTTTAACGGCAGAAATTTGCAGAGGAATAGCCGGAAGTATAAATTCCAATCTTTCCATCTTGTCTCCACCAATTTCATTTTAATGATCGTGAGCTCTTCTGCATGGAAGTCATCTGGAATGAATGGAGGCCCTAATACTAGAGTCTGGCCTCTCACTACTTGGGAAGATTTGTTTTTAAAAAGCTGTACAATATGTCTTTAATATAAAAACTAAGGCAGCTTTACAAAAGTAGCTGGCTCAGTCCATTCTGTTGTAAGGTAGAGGAGCAGCTTACATATTTCCTAATATGAACACATGATTCAATTACTTTTCTTAAAAGCTCTATATAGCAGTTTGTTTTTTTAAAAAAAAAGTTTCATCAACAAAAAATGGTGTCAGCTCTACTGTCATATAAAATCTTGTTTCTAAAAATGTTGAGCCATTTCCAAAAATCCATCACAATTTGTTAATTCTCTAATAATGGAGTCCTCTTGCTCCTTTAATTTGCTGGATGTGTCAAAGTCAGAAATGGCTATTAGCTGCATCCAGAGAGATTGTTCATGGGCTTTTGTTGCTAGAACCAAGTAAACAATCTTCATGGCCTCTTGAAGCAATAGTCACTGCATTCTCCATATGAAGCGGACGATATAATGCAAAAGGCGCAAAATTATGATCTGGTGATTTACTCCCTGGTAATCCAATAAACCCTGAAAGAAGAAATAAAGTTATTTTAAAACCTTTTCATATGAGGCAGTAAAGATTATCAAATGTATAGGCCAACTTAGGAATTGCAGTACTAACCCATGAAGTACTTTGGGTAGCTTTAGCAAAGCACAAATGTTGTTAAGCTGGCTAATAAGACAACTATTAGGGTAGAACCAGGATTGTAACAAAGCAGGCTCTTCTATTGGTTTTTGAGGTTTTTCTATTGCAATCATGGACTATAGTTGTATCTTTACATCTCAAAAGGAACAAATACGTGTGTTTAATGGCAAAGCTTTAGTCAGATTACTAGATCAGTAGGTGTTTGCATGAACACTAAACTTCTCTTTATAAATACATGGATACTTCAATCATTTGTTTTTATTGATATAAACAAGAAAATATGCTTTTTCATGTTTTAATTTTTTCTTAGGCAACCCTGGTATAGTGTATATGTTGGCCTGTGTGTATCTCATATTCAGCTGAATATATTTGCTTTTAGCCTTATAGAAAGATGGGAGGATAAACAATATTATACCTCAACCCTAAAGTCATCCTTTCTGAGACATGTATTTTATTATTATTATTTATTTAAGGTTCATATGGAGTAAGAGTCACAGTGGTTAGAGTGCAGTATTGCAGACAAACCATGCCCACAGTCTGGAGTTCAATTCTGATAGGCTCGAGATTAACTCAGCCTTCCATCCTTCCAAGGATGGGGCAATATGCTGACAGAGTACTGTAAAATACTACAGGGATGGTTGACCCAAAGGTGCTTTTTCAAGAGGCAACTGAACTTTCTGGTTTTTCTTTGAAGATGTTTTACTTGTCATCCAAGAAGCTTCTTGGATGAGAAGTGAAATGTTTTCAAAGAAAAACCAGAAACCATGACCATGGGTGAGTGAGAATTTCCATAAACTAGAGTGGTATATAAATCTAAGTGCTATTGCTACTGCTGTGTTAATGTGATGCAAAATTACTTGGGGACATTCAGCAAACCATGGAAAAAATGATTAACTCATAGCATTTTGTATTTGTAGCTATTTTTTTCCTATGTCCATTTTCTGTCACTGATTGATGTCCTCATTGTCTGCCTCAATCATGCTTGCACTCACTGTAATTTATTCATCCAAATGAATTCTCCTGGTATATAGAACTCAAGCCCATCTAACATCCTTTAAAACTCTTGTGAGATGAGAAATTAACAACCAAAAAAAGCTTCTATAGACAGCTTAATTTTCCTCATGAATGGCAATTTTTGACATTTCACCTTCTAGGTGAAGAGAGAGACTCCAAAATCCATAGTTTTCTGATTCCAGTTGTCTAAGAAATAAAGGCAGGAGAAAGTCTTGTGAATGAACTGTATCTTTAACACTGTGTTCTGAGTAACCGTCACTATATTTAATCTTGTTCTGTGCTGCTTAATGTGAGGTTTGTTACCAGAAACAAGTGGTATATAATTTATGAGATCTGGTAGAGCACACAGAAAAGGGGGAAAAAACAGGAGATGCCAAAACCAGGATGGTATTCTCAGATCATAATTGTGTCATTGTCTAAATTGTTGACTCTTGAAAATGTTACAGAGATTCCCAAAGGATGAAATCTAGTAGCTATAATTTATCTGAGAAACCAGTGATTTGGTGTAATGTATGCCAAGAACCTAAATAAAGCGATTGGCAATCCATGCCAGAGCTAATGAACTAGTGAACCTCCAAATTATTCTCAAGTGACTCCACCTGTCTAAACACCCACTGCTTTTTGGGAGTATAAGTACATGCAGATACATTTGAAAGGATGCAGTCATGTAAGAAAAAGAAGACATACACATTTGTGTGCTGCCTGACTTCAACTTCCACAAGTCTCATTTGATGAGAGGAAATAAGGTAGATAACCCAGGAGACAATCAAATCAATTATTTCTCTTTCAACTCTTTGTTTAAAAAAAGGTTGTTTTAAACTAATTAAATACAATTAGCATATGGATTAAGAGATTTTCATTTATTTGCATCAAACAAACCCTAAAAAGTCTCAGTAGACCAGCTACAGTACATACCATATAGTATCTTGGGATAACTTAGACTCGTAGATTTATTGTGGTCTAAGCTACCCTGTGCCTATTATGTCAAATGCAGTCATTTGAATCTGTTTCAAAGATCTCGAGTCTAGCAAGAAGGTAAATTATTTTATAGAAAGATGCAAAAGTTAAGAGTTCCTCTAAAAAGCTATAAAAATTGAGAAGTTAGTAAATTCATGGAAAGTAATTGTAACTACATTTAATTCAGATTAAGTTTAAAAAGAGATTGGTTTGCTGCCTATAGTCATTTCTTTGTCCTATCCCACCAGATTCTTGCACCACTGCAGTTGCCTTTGCTTTAGCTGGAAAAGTCATCCGGTGACTTTTACCTAAATCTGAACTGTTTACACATCTTCAGTTTTCAAGCCAAGGAAAGATAAAACATTTCTGATATTTCTAAAAAACCAAGCAAGGGAAGGACAGCGGCAGCAGCAAATTTTTGCTTGATCCACCTGACATAATGGAATTCTGACAAGACTATGGCACTTCTATCCCTACATAATAAGACGAGAGGAAATCAGTTCATGCCTGCAATTCCTCTAAGGGCATTCTAACAACAACTTGTAATTTTTATCTTGGAAGAACAGCATTCTTCCAAAATTAGCCTTTCACAAATTTACTTTCAAAATAATAAGGCTTATTTTAGGTTGTTGTTTAAAGGAATTACTGTATTGCCTTTCAAGGCAAACTTAACAGCAGTATCAATCATAACAGGGAGAATGCATAGGTTCCAGGGGTTATGCTTTCTCCCACTGCTAATTATGGTTAAACAGATGGGAAGCCACAAAAGATGGCCATGTCTCCAAAACCTGACACAAACATCAATTCATAAAGTATACGAAAAGCATACTACTCCAACAAAATCCCCCAAGAACCAATATAGATGTGAAATGTCAGGCAGTCTCTATGAAAGGGCAGAAGCAGACATACCCCTCGCAGACCAAGGTATAATTTCTAATGAAACTGTCAATGAAATCTGATTTCTGTCCTAGAAACACTGGTCTGTCATGAAAGTGTGACATACTGTACAACCATATTTGGAGATGACTGAGTGACGTTAACTATATGTCTCTTGTATTATTGCAGTATCTCTTGAGAACAGTGCTGCTTTTGCCAAGATCATCACAACAAGAACTTTATTGATGCTTCAGGAGACTTCAAGAAAGTATGTACCTGTTTCCTCAACTTAGCAATTTCCTAAAGGGTTAATTTCTCCACACTTGTCACTTCCAAAAGCTTGATGTCATCGGCACAACAGTGGAACGAAGAAATATCCAAATCAAAACAATCTGCAAGTTCAATCCAGGGAAGCAGGTGCATAGGAAACAAAAACAGACCTTGACAGCCACTTGCTCTTTCTGATGTCTCCTGTGAATTTACTATTGTTATCAGTTGTAACATTTAGCTGGCTGCACATTCTACTCAAGTTTCCAGATATGAATGAGGAAACTAAAAACTGTCTAAAATCCAATTCACATATAAACTAAATGACTCATCATAACATTTCATTACAGAACACCCTTCTGCACGTTATTTTCGTGTATGACAAATCAGGTGTGTGATGCTTTGCCAGCTGAACAAGAAAGCTATATAGTCCAAAATAAAGGCGTGAAAAACCGGAAGGAGCTAAATATAAAACATACTAAATAGCCAAAGAACTTTAGCCAAAACAAATAGCTAATGGGAAGCAAAACAGTATTGAGGAAATATTTCTCAGACTGAAAACAGCAGCCTGGAAAAAATTGGTATATCATTGGGGCAAGTTTAACCAGTGATGCAAACAACATGTGCAATCAAAGGAGAGAAATGGCAGCGGGAAGCTTAACCCTTTCTTACCTCCTTCCCCCTGCCCTTGGGCTGCGGTCCCTCATAGCATAGATTCAGCATCACAATCCCACCACCGCCTTTCCTAAGCAAATGTCCCCTTCCCCCTTCACATGCATTCATTTTAAATAGTCAACCTATGAATGCTTCGCAGATACTGTAGGAAAACAAAAGAGGAATCAATTCAATGTTGCTATCACAAATCATTTGGGGTAACTATATGTAATAGGAGTATTAGATCTGTTAACCTAAAAGCCAAAGACCCACACCATACACAAGCACAACAAGAGGACAGGACGAATGCCACAGAAATAGAAAAGGCATTTACAGTATAGTGGAAAATGAACAGTTGATATGTACATTTAAGATGTACATATATTGCATACGCAAAATTTCAGCAGAAGGAATCAAGCTGCAACTGGTATTTGTAATTAGACAATATCAAATTGGACACATTGAACTCCCAAATGGATCTGCATATGTATGACCGAAAGCAACACAGCTACAGCTGTGTGAAAAAGTCCTGCACGCTTTCAGTTTTAAGCTGTATTTACATGTTTAATCATCTTTTCACATCTCTCATAGAAACCACACAAAATTAGTACTTTGATGAAAATTTCTGTAGTCGGATTGAGATGCATAATTTTTATTAATATAACCAAAGTCTTTTTAAGGTTCTGAGTGAGTTTATGTGTTAAAACAAACACAACTTGCATTTTCGAGAACATTAGGATCAAAAGTAGTCAAAGCAGCGAGCTTTGGCTGACCAATCAAAATGCACAGAGGCTAAATCTATAAGCCAATCATTGTTGTCATACCCTCTGACTATAAATAGGCATGAAAAGCATCGAGAAATTTTAATTTACTTCTGGCTGCGGGCAAGGATGAAGGCCTTTGCTTTCACCAGTACTGAGCAGCGGCATTGCATCATTGTACTTCATGAAGAGGGTTTTTCCTGTACAGAAATAGCCAAGAGAGTGAAATCCCATTGCACCACAGTGAGCAGAGTGGTTGAAAAATATCAAGTAACTGGTTCAGTTGATGACAGGCTCCGCTCTGGAAGACTAAGAAAGTCGACAAAACAGAAGATCAGGCTCTGCAATGCATTTCAGTGGCTAACAGGAAGCTCACCTCACCTCAGATTACAAGAATTTGGAGTGAAACATGTGATGTAAAAATGTGCACAAGCACAGCGCGTCACAGACTGCTTGCCAGAGGGCTCGCGGGCTGCAGGGCTCAAAGTAAACCTTTGCTCACAGAGGCTCATCGACGTGTGTGTGGGCCAAGAAGTATGCCAAGTGGACCAACGAACAGTGGACCACAGTCATCTTCAGTGACAAGAACAATTTCTACTTGATTGGGAATCAGTGCATTAAGTATGTCAGATTTCCAGCTGAAGAATTTAGGCCGTACTGCCTGAATCTATCTGTAAAGCATCCATTGCATGTGAAGATCTGGGGCTGTATCGCTGCTTCTGGTATTGGTCGGATGCAAATCATGCAGGGAATCATGAATTCCAAGCAGTATGTTGAAGTCCTAGAAAAGACCATGCTTCCTTCCACTCAGCAACTTGTAGGGAAGGACTTTTACTTCCAGGATGACAATGCTCCTTGTCATCCAGCCAAGTCCGTCCAGCAGTGGATAAAAAGCATAGTGTTCGACTCCTGGATTGGCCAGCTCAGAGCCTGGATTTGAACCCAATTGAGAACTTGTGGACCAAGATTGGTTATGAAATAAGCAAGAAGCATCCGAAGACCAAGCAGGAGCTGATTGAATCCATTATTGCAGCCTGGCACCACATTGTCACCAAAGATCACATGCAAAGGCTTATACAGTCTATGCCGAAGTGATGCTGCCTGGTGATAAGCAATAAGGGCTGGCCAATTTCATATTAGTAACCATGTTTAGTTACCTAAATGGTCCTTTTCAGGGCCACAAACAATAAAAATGTTAACAAAACACCAGCATCAGTCTTAGTAATTGCAACACGTATGCCACTGGATATGCATCAGTTAATCTGTTTTCACAGTCATTGTAAGCATGCATTGTAAGCATGCAAGAAACAGCACCAAATTTCAAAAAGCTCATGATTTTCACTTAAAAACCACCAGTATTTATTTAAATATAACAATGTTTGCATAGCAGTTAGCATAAAATATCATAAAATCAATGGCCTACCCAAAAAATGTCATAAGCTGTAAACCATAAAGCATGCAGGACTTTTTCACAAAGCTGTATCTATCCAAAGTTGCCATATACAATACAAATTTCCCATATAGTGGTAGAATGTATTGAACTATATTATTTGATTCTCATTATTTTAAAACATTATTATAAAACAATTAGAACCCTTAATCACCCAAAATTATGATCCACAAGCTATTTAATTTACAAAACTCACCAAGAACCAACAAGGAGCCTTAAAGTGACAAGCAATGCATGTACCAATTGTCAAGATGCTATCTCTGTTTTGTCTCTGAAAGGCATTTATCATTTTATTGGTCAGAATTGCCATTTTTCTCCCTTAATTGTTATCCAGTTTACTAATATTTCACAACTCAAGCATTTCCTATCATTTTACCTCCTTTACTAGTAAAGCACTTTGTGCTTAATTTCTTAATATGGCTGCTGTTAGAATATTGCAAGGAAAAAAAAGCATCTTCCATTTCATATTTCCTTTGGTGCCCTGTGCTATCCCCAATACAGTTAGTTTACTAAAACTCAAACCTCATGTGAACAGAAACTTCTAGAACAATTTGTTTCATGTTTGTTCTTCGTTTATGGAACCTATTCCGAATTTTATACAGAAAAGGGGGGAATGGGGCAATTGTAAAATTGTGAACTCAATGTATCTCAGAATACATATTACCATTTTTAATTTAAAGTTTCTTCAGAGCTACATTTATTTCACATTGCTTCTGGAGTTTCTTCTGACATGTTCAGTATGCACCGTAAGAGATTTTGGCAATAAGGTGCAAAGCCTTGATGAGGAAAGGTGCATTATTCCCGATTCCCAGAATAGGACATAATGTACTACTTTTACTCTTAATATTTAAACTATTTTATATCTAAAATATCTATTTATATCTAAAATAACTAAAACCTCCAAGGTCTCTTCCAACTCTGTTGTATCTATACAACTCAGCTCCCAAGATAATCCTTTCTATTCTCAGTATTTCCACAGATGCACTTTCAAGTTTCCCTCATATGAATTTATTTCATTCATCAGATGGTGAATATATTTTATAAATGCTTGTTTGATAATACAGTTAATTAACCTTTGGTATTTTCTTTTATAGAAAGCTTTCTTTGTTTCTCCCTTACAAAGCATATTAAACGATCTTATACAATATAGAATTAGCAATTAACAGAAAACAGAATTACATTGTTCAGTCCTTCAACACATGACAACTACCGACTTCAATGACTTAAAATAGAAATTGGGAGCACTGATTGATGATAAGGCCATCACAGCCATTAGCCATGTACACTCAATCCTAGGAAAAGCTGCCAAGGAGGGCTGTGAATTTGATCATTGCAAAACAAAAAGATGATTCCCTAGAAATCTTTCCACCTAAAAGAGAAAAAAAATCCCTATAGGTTTTCCCTTGTGAGTGGAAAAATATCTAGGGGACCCTAAGAAAAGCCGCCCAAGGAAAGACAACATTCTCCTCATTAAGTCAGCTTGGTCCAGTCTGCAAATTTCTGTAAGTGCTTCAAATAAGATCAAGTTTTTAGTGCTTTTTGAAAAGAATGTGTTTTAACATTTCAAAAATCCAAAAAAAAGGAGAAAGCTAAAACACTACCTCATTATCCAAAAAGAAATGCCATTTATCTTTTTTTTAAAAAAAAAATATTTTAAATTTGTTTTCATTGTCTCTAGACTGAACAGCTGCTCAGTTTCTCAGTTTTAAACTGAACAAAGTTCAGTTTAAGAAAGCCAAGCTCGGCCCTGGGTTCTAAACCATAACTCTCTTACCTTAGGTTCAGTAGCCTGAACTGAATTCTACATAATCTTCTGCCAAATCCAGTGCCACTTGGTTTAACTTTCCATTGCCAGCAGGAATAAAAGTCAGTTCCCGTTACTGAGCTAATCTTGGTATGGTCTTAGCATTAAAAGGAGTTTTTGTGAGAGTTAAATAACAAGTAGTCCTTGACTTATGATCACAACTGAGCCCAAGATTTCCACTGCTAAGCAAGGCAGCTATTAAGTGAGAGTTTTGTCCCATTTTACAATCTTTTTGATCACAGATGTTAAGTGAATCAGTATAGTTATTAAGTGAACCATGCAGTCGTTAAGTGTTATCTGGTTTCCCCCATTGATTTTGCTTGCTGGAAGATAGTTGGGAAAGTTACAAATGGTGATCACATGACCCTGGGACAGTGCAACCATCATAATCACATGCAAGTTTCAAGCCCACAAATTTTGATCACGTGATTATGGGGAAGGCTGCAACAGTCATAAATGTGAAAACCAGTCGTAAATCACCTTTTTTCAAATTGTCATTAAATGAAAGATTGTAAGTTGAGGACTACTTGTAAATGCCAGGCTAAGAATACTTGAAGATGAAAGTTAAATTAAATACTAATGGTGCAAATCTTTATACTGTTCTAAAAGAAAATGTATAGGCAGGTATAACAATTGTGCAATATGCAGTTTCAAAAGGGTCACCAGTTCAGAGTTCAATAAGTTGTATCCATTATATGTATTACTGATTTGCATATACATCATATATCATACAATGTCATTAAAATTAGTTGATACAGATTGTGTACAATCCATCCATCCAACTTTGCTGTAGAGATTGACACAGAGCCTGTCATAAAACAGCTATTTTCTTTTTTGGGCATCCATGTAAGCCTGAAAGTAGTGTCTTTTTTCAGGCGTCCACTGAAGCCTGAAAAGGACAAGGGTGTTTTAATTGGTAGTAGATGGTTGCTGCGTTTGCATGAGGTCTGGAGCATAAGCCTACTGTATAAGATGTGTGTGCTCCTTGAATTGTAAATACACTACAAATAACTAAGTGTGCTTTCAATATAAAAAAGCAAAGTATTCAAATATGTCATATTTGAAATCAGATATATCTGAGTAACCAGTAATTTAGCAAATGTTGAGATACTTATATAACATTTGCTTTCCCCTGTCCTTTGCTTAAGTAGACAGAGCTACAGCACTGGAATAAGCAAAAGAATTTAAAACAATAAAAATGTTGAAAGTTACCCTTCTTGGACAGTAGGAAGCATTAAATTCATCTCCAATACGCCGTAATTCCTGTGCAATCCATATTTCTGGCTGCATATCCTCAGGTATTGGCCGTGACTGCCATCTGGAAGCTGTATCAAAACAACGCAACAAAAAAAAACTTTTATACTTCCAAAAAGTTTTCCATATCCATTCCCCACAGCGCCCGTGCACTCAATAATTTTACTACTTATTTTTCTTAAAGCTATAATAATAATCTAATAAAATACAGAGAGAACACTGATTATATAAAGATGTCATCATGGTATCTATGATTTTATATTAAGGCTGTATGATCTCTCTATTCCTTTATTCATTATTATAACTGAATCTATTAAATTGTAGTTTTTTTCACCTAAAGTAGTAGTAAATTGTGTAAAGCTATGCCTGTGGATTTTAACATACTTTCTACTCAGCTAGGATCAGACTCTTTTACAAACAATTCAAGAGTACTCCAACAGCTACCTGTGAAATCGAACTTTAAAATACCAGTAAAATAGTACACAGATAGTATTCGACTTAGACCACAACTGAACCCAAAATTTCTGTTGCTAAATGAGAAAGTTAAGTAAATTTTGCCTCATTTTATGACTTTCTTGCCACAATTGTTAATTGAATAACTGCAACTGGTAAGTTAATAACGTGGTTTTTAAGTGAATCTTGACTATGCAAAAGGTGGTCATGTGATCCTAGGACACTGCAATCTTCATGAATGAAGGTCAGTTGCCAAGCATCTGAATTTTGATCGTGTGACCATGGGGATGCTACAACAGTAAGTGTGAAAAACGGTCATAAGTCACTTTTTTCAGTGCTGTTGTAACTTTCAACGATCACTAAATGAGGTGTTTCAAGTTGAGGACTACCTGTATAAAGAATCACACCAAAAAAAAAGAAATCCCATACAATTAAAACAGAATAAAAATACCAGAGGATTATCTCCCCAAAGTGATGAAATTTACAACATGTTACTTTATGTTCTGATACCATGCTTATTTCCATCCCAATTCCCTCACAGGTCATAAATAACAGTAGCACTTCTATCTGTCATTTCTCTGATAATTTCCAAACAGCACATATTAACATTACCTCTGGATTAAACATTAGGTGATTATGATTGAATTTATGATTGTTCACTGCCCATGGTCACTTGTTTGAAATGGACACCTACAGAAATAAATATTGATGCCAGGCTGTGTAATCATGCAAAATCTGAGGATTAGTTTCTCATATAAGCCAGCATTGCAGAGATGCTGTTAAAGGGCTGCATATCAAAATATTAGTATGTACTAAACTTCATTCCTTGCATATAAGCGACCAGCTAGGATTTGTTATAGTTTCCTATTATTAGCAAACTGTGAGATGGTTGAGACCAGGTTAACAGCTGTCTTCCAAATTATGTTTAAATGCACTCTTGTCAAAGGTCAAGGAGCAAGGAGCTGCTGCTTTCTGCTCTGGAGTAAATTTACTTTAGAAGATGTCAACCAGTTTAAGCTCAAGCATTATATAGTCCTTAAATTATGATCTTTGTTACTTGTTATTTAACAACTATTCGAAGTAATGATAGCCTCCAAAAAGTAGTTACAACCTTAACAATTGCCCCCATGACCATATGATCGCAATTGGCATATTGATCAAGCACTTGGCAATCAGGGGTGTCAAGCTCACCTAGTTGCGGCGACATCACGTGACATATTGTGACTATTTTCCCCTTCGCTAAACCGGGCATGGGTGTGTCCAGCACATGACACATCTGGCCCATTGGCCAGGAGTTTGACAGCTTTGCCCTAAGTTCATACATCACACTAAATGTGGTTCTTTTTGGGGCTCAATACAAGTTATCTTTGTCCAGCAACTGCAATCAGTTCCAGTGACTTAATCATTAAGCAAAGTAGTCACTAAGTGAAAAATCACGTGATTTTTACTTTAGTTTTCCTTTACTTCATAGGGTTGGAAACATACAACCCCTAAACAGCTGGGTGAGTCCAAATGGCGGAGAAGGTTTCCAGAACTTGACTCATGAGGAAGCCAGGTAAAAGGGAAATCTTATAGCTCTTTTCCTTTGGAATGCTCACCCTGGGGCTAGGATAATTAGCAAGAAGAGAATTAATATCTGTATACATTCACTGGAGAGGAAAAGATTACCTCAGAGTAAGCAGTTACATAATGCGGAATAGACCTTGAAAGAAATGCTCTTGATAATGCAAAACACTAGCCATTTAAGAGGCAAACAAAAGTCTTTTAGCATGAGTCTTGTTAGTGTCAGACACAGCCTCAACTGAGCCTGAAGGTTATAATCAAGTAATTAAGGCCACATAACTGAGCTTGTTAACCTGTGTGGTTAGCACTTTTTTAGGGATGCGCTGCAGTTCAGGAATAGATAGTCTCTTTAGGCAATCTCTCTGCTCTGTGGAGGGTGAGGAGGAAACAAAGGGGTCAGGTACAAGGTAACAGGTACTAATGTGACCGAGAGATGCTGCACTGGCTATAAACGTAGGCACTGGTCACAAAGATAATGATTGCTGTCTGAAGCAGTCCCTAAATGAGGATAAGCTGTTCGGGAATCCAGCTACCATTATCTGTAAACTATGGTTGTTATTGTTTAGTCACTAAGCTATGTCCAATTCTTCGTGACTCCACGGACCAGTGGACCATAGCCCAGCAGGTCTCCCTGTCCTTCACTGTCTCCTGGAGTTTGCCCCAAATGTTTCATGGGTATTATATTTGAATCTATTCAATGGAGTACACCAGAGGCGTCAAATTCGTAGCCTGGATGCATCACACACTGTCCACTCCCACACTCGGTTTAGCAAAGGGGAAGAGTTGTGATACGTCACATGATGCCACGAGTTTGACACCCCTAGTGTAAACCATATCTAAACATAACCTATGATGTACAAGAGGCAATCTTAATTGTTTTGAGATGCATGTATGTTTTTACTAGACATCTGAAAAACAAAGGGATCTTCAAATGAAATATGTACTTTTAATTCTATCATATCAGGACTCTTTATCATTTACATTTGTAGAGAGAGTTCCACACACCAAGCTCTTGGGTCATTTTTGATGTAGGTAAATAAAAGTTTATATCCTTCTTAGGACAAAAACAGTGCTTGGAATCTAACTGTTTGTCATTAGATATGATGAGGAAGAAAAGTCCTGCCTGGCAATTACTTGCATGTATTAATGTAGGAGTGCTGATAACATTATCATGAAGCTGCAGTGTCCATAACAAATTTCAGTGATGTCAAAACAATACTTGTGTCATAATGCAATTTCATAATTTGTATCATAACCTCCATTACAACTACACATCTTGTTATTTGCTCCCCATATCACTCAATACCTATGCCTTTGAACTCTTCCTAGTTCTATGATTCTGGTCTAACATCTTCCGCCAACAAAAATGAATGGAGAATATAAGCAAGTATTACAGTCTGTTTATACAAATTATTCCACAAACCTGGCATTAAAAACTTTAAAAGGATCATAAGGGAATATCCATAATTCTCAATCTCACAACAATCACTTGCAGAGCAGTGAAAATGTTAAGCAAATGTGCCTGGCTCCAAACTGGGTGGAAACTTTATTTCAGAGCCAAACTAACATTTCATTGGTCTACAAATGTATTGTTTTCACATTATAGTTGAGAAAGACTATTATCAAGTTTCAAAATAAAAGTTTATATCAGAGTCAATTTTAGTAAGTTGCTTAGTAAGCTGAAATTCTTCTTGCGATGCTGGTTGACTCAATTCCTAATTTTTCAATCATTTTAAAGGAAAACTAGCATAATTCATTATATCTGAGGAGAGGCTTTCTACAAGTATATTACAATAATATTTCTCTTACCTAAAATTAAACTATTTAACTCTAATTTGGTCATCATGCCTGTAAAGGTAATTGTATACTAATAGTACCATCATAGAAATCTCAAAATGTTCTTAACAGTGGAGGAATGGAAAGGACAAAGCAAAGTAGCATTTAGCACTGTTTGCAGGCTTAGGCTGCTTTTGATGTAATGAAAAAAACAACACCAGTGCTGCAAGCTCTGCTCATTCATGCAATATCAAAAGGGGTGGGGCTTGCATCACAACAACACAATACTAAGATTTTTTTGGTCTGATCCTCCTGTGGGACACCTTAGAACAGAGGTCCCCAACCACCGGGCCGCGGACGAGTACCGGTCCGTGGAACATTTCCTACCGGGCTGCCGGTTTGCTGGGCGCCGCCATCTTGTTTGATGAGAAAGTGCTTCCGGGTGAGCTTTTCCGGTTGGAAAGCAGCGTTTGGGTCCTGAAGGAATCCTCGCGCCTTAGTATCATCGAAGGGGGGGCTTCGAACGAAACTAAGGCACAAGGATTCTTTCAGCACCCAAGGCAAGGCGAGGCGAGCGACCGTCCCAAAGCGAAGCCCATCGACAAAGGTACAAAGGAGGAGTTGAAGGTGGCGGGGAGAAGCGGGGGACGGCTGGCTGGCTGGCTGGTCGCTCGGCTCGCCTTGCCTTGTCATGCGTGCTGATGCCGGTACCGGGCTGCGGATCATTTTGTGATGCCGGTACCGGGCCGTGGCACAAAAAAGGTTGGGGGCCACTGCCTTAGAATACTTGTATTCCTTGAACTACTTCAGAGTGTTCTCTTCCAAGTTTTGAATCTATTCAATTGCACTAGCTAACAAATGTCTATGTATCAAGAGATGTTGACTGAGCCATTCACGATCACATTGAAACAAACATCATTAGTAGATTTTTGGATGAAAATGCAGAGAGAATAGGAACTTAAGTGAAAGGACACTGAAGATCTTCATAGCTTTTGCTTTAGCACATAAAACAACCAAACTCACATAAAAACCAAAACTGATGTTATTGAAACAGGCTAAATGTTATGCAAACTTTTAAAGATTTTTTCAAACAAAAACAGTCCAGACATTGACAAAATATACCAACATATATACAAACTCATACTTTCCATTATAACGGTTAACCAATGCATTATGTAAAAATAATGGAGGGGAAAGCATTAATGATGTTTTATTTCAGTATACACTTTCCCCCCCTCCTTTTTTAATGAAACTATCATAGGATTATTTTATTAAAAAT